CAATTTTAAATAATGTGCCACGGTGCCAAGATAAAGTCAGTGTCCGATTTCAGTAGATGCTAGCAAATAGTCTAAAATGCCTCCTAGATGAGGAAGGATTACTTAGACTAAAACAGTAGATTTATTATACTGGAACATAATCCGGGTTACGAGACGCACATTCGAAAACCGCACTCGATAAAAAGTATCACTTCACGGTAGTGCAGTGACCTACCCAAACCGTGCTCGGTAATGAGACTTCGTTTAGTCAGATCAATTAGACCCTTGGGGCTGTTCAGCACAACCCCGGTACCAGGGGGCTAGATGGCCAAGTAATCACCATGCTGAAATCCAGCACGGGTGATGAAAGTTCACCAGGCCACAACCCGCATGGCGGCCATGAAGTAATTAGCGCACAAGCAAGCAATTATCCTCGATGGTGGAGCCGTTAATTGTTATAAATGTGAAGTGGCAAAGTGAATGTATCCTATAAATACTGCAACTCCCTGTGTATGAATTACGCGTTTCTGCTATTGCCTCTGATGATGCATCGGCGGTGGAATCCGAGACGTAAGGCAAATAAAGTTCTTGGTCGAGCGATCACGTCTACTTGCTCTCACAACAGATTCGTTGAGGAAAGTTCACTGATCCTCAACAGAACTCACTCGTCCCGTTCTTTCTTATTAAAAATTCGAAAGTGTAGGTGCAATGTGATAAATGGATGGATTATTTCGAACGTCGATGGCTAAAAGTGGACGCCAAAGTAAAATAAAACATATCTACTATTACGGAATAAGTAGGCAGTTATGCAAACTGAATATGGACACGGCGATGGCATTAGCCTATATTCATGAGCATCCGAAGTGTCTTTCTCTTCATCACTGGTGTTTTTTCCCGACTTTTTAGGATATGACTGCCATGGAGAAGGACGTAGAGAAGAGGCTGGCAGTGCTACGACAGCGCGTCTCCAAACCACCCGATCGCATAGAAGACCTGCGGCAGGTGGGCGAACGCCAGAAGGGGATCAGTGATCGTCGCCAGCGCCTGCAACGCCAGCTGGGCAAGGAGATGGAGCTGTGGGGACGTTTTTCTGAGGCCGCTAAGGCC